AATATAACACCCCCCGCAGAAATTTCGCCTTCCCGCCTTCCCGCCACCCCTCCAAATAAAACTTTGTCAGTATTACCCCCNCGTCTCTGCGATTTTGCTTTTTCAACCGACCTGAATCGTGCACGTAAGACAACACCCCCCTCAAATTTGCACAATATAACACCCCCCGCAGAGACGCTCCGAAAATNAAAGCTTCTTGTGAGCCAATAGTTTATTTTCGGAGCGTCTCTGCGATTTTGCTTTTTCAACCGACCTGAATCGTGCACGTAAGACAACACCCCCCTCAAATTTGCACAATATAACACCCCCCGCAGAAATTTCGCCTTCCCGCCTTCCCGCCACCCCTCCAAATAAAACTTTGTCAGTATTACCCCCCCCCCATCGGACAAATAATATGTTTTGGGGGATTGGGGGATTGGGGGTGTACTTCGCGGGGAAATGACTTAAAAATAGAGTTGCGTCTGCTGCGCGTACACGTTTCGCTGCGTGTCTCGGCCCCAAATTGTCCGTTCGCCAAAACCAAATTACTCAAGTGTGCGTCTGGTCTAGCTCAACCACATATTCCGAGAAAGATCAATCTGTGAAGATCCTGATTTTTAACCTCAAATAACGATATACAGCAGGAATGTACTCATTTAGCTGCACAAAAGTCGCTACCATTTTCATTTTTGATGCTGGCACTTCGCACGCGTGTGCCCCGAGCGTGTGTGGTCACAGATCAAAAACAATGGTGAAATCGAAGCATTTGTTGATTTTCAAAGCCTCTTTGAAGATTCAGTCAATGCAATATACTGCCGCATTCGTCCCATCATTTTATTTCGCCTTGTAACTGGGCATACATGTGTGCCTGGGCCGCATCGGCTCATCGCCTTAAAAAAACCCGACCAGATTCGAATTTGGCAAATTGCACCCACGTGGCCCCCTGACCACCTTTTTCCCGCCCAAACGGCGCTGTGACCATGAAATGTCCCATGTTTGTGCTTCCCTTCCCCCTTTTGTCCACCCCACGCATTGTTTTCGAGCGAAATTGACACAGGTGCCCACGAGATGCGCGAGAGATGCCCGCTGGACTGTATTTGTCAACCAATCAGCAATCGTACAACGTATCATCCACAGTTTTGTCACGATTGGTAGCCAATCAGGAATCGTCCTTAATCATACAGAGTCGTTCCATAGTATTTGTAAGTGATTTGTACGGTTCAAGCACGATTCGAAAAGTTGGCAGCCTTTCTGTCGGCCTTATACTATAGGTAGGGCATTTGCGCTGTGCATGAGACTTCGATCGTACGGTGATAACAGGGAGGAAAAGTCGATGTGCAGGCACATAGTCCGGGGATTTCTCCCAAGGTTTGAGAAAACTACAGACCGTCTTCTGTTTGATTCGATGTTATCGAGGGCTACAATGCAGGAGATGCTGAGGTTGGAAGAGCACGAGCTGAGGTCCGAGCGGAGAGCTGGAGAGGGGAAGGAAGAGATGAGGCATGCCCTAGTTGCTGCCGGCATGGGCCGGGGTGGCGAGGCGGGGAAACCAGCCGCTGCAGGATCGGAGCAAGGTGGACATCGACTCCAGCAACCACAAAGGTCGGTGCAGTCACATCAGCAGCAACCATCGCACTTCTGCCAGCTCCACGGCCCCAACAGCACCCACGAGACCTCCGAATGTCACAAGTTACGCAACGAATTCCTCGCCCACTACAACGAGTTCTGCGCGTACATGAGCGGGAGGCGGGAGGCCCAGGCATCGGTCTTTCCTCGAGGCGGAGCCCAAGACTCGGGGCGGATGGTTGGTGGCCCATCTCGACAGCAGCCGTACCAAAACGAGCAAGGTGCGGGCTGGAGTCGGGGCCACTCTCCAGCGCTGCCGGGACCGCCGCGTGGGCAAGGATCCGGAACTGGAGGACAGCTGCAGGGGCACAACTCTGGGGGGCGTGGGTATGGTGGATACGGTCCTTCCCCCCCGGAGAGCCAAGGTCGTCAGGTGGGCGGCCGTGGTGGTAATTATCCGCCGCCCAACGTTCCTCCCGCGCAGATTGCTAACGTACCGCGGCCCTATTTTCCGGCTCATTTCGCCATAGGAGGTGGAGAACCATCAGGCGGCGACATCACTTCGCGATGGGAGGCCACGTCGGTGCCCGTATCTACACCCAGCTGGACCCCACCACCTCCTGAGGCAGGCTACGGGTACGGGCTCGCGGCTCACGGAGTGGACCATGGCGGAGGTCCCTACGGCAGCGCCGCCGGCGGGGGATACGGTTTCCACCAATTGCCCGACGGCGGAGGGCTCTACCAGCAGCAAGAAGTGAGCAACGTACCACACTATCCTTCTGCTGCCGGACCGGACGCCCAACAACCGNATACGGTTTCCACCAATTGCCCGACGGCGGAGGGCTCTACCAGCAGCAAGAAGTGAGCAACGTACCACACTATCCTTCTGCTGCTGGACCGGACGCGCAACAACCACAAGCCTACGAGGCCTTCGACACCTCGCCGCGGCATCAACAGCACCAGCACTACGGTGCACCCCAGGCGACCTCTTCCTCCTCCTCCCTCTCTCCAGCTCCAGGCGACGCTCTACCTCCAGCTGGCGATTCCCCCCTGCATCTCTTCGTGGCACGTGTCGTGTGCCCTCGAGGCAAGTCTAACATTGATATTGAGAAGGATGTTGGTTTTTCGAAGTCTGACGTGTTCACGAGTGCGGAGTCTCATGTGTCAATGCCTGGTGTTCCCCGCGTGCCTGCTGTGCATGAACGTTCTGATGATGAGTTCGGTGTCTTGAAGTTTGGTGTGTCTACTCATGATGTACCCCGCGTGCCCGCTGCACTTGAGAGTCCTGATGAAGTGGTCGGCGTTCCGGAGTGTGATGCATCTGTCCCTGCTNGAGCCAGTGCGATGATTACTAACAAAGTGGATGCATTGTACAATCTACGCCACTTGGGCGCGGATGAACGATTTATTCAGATTGGAGACTCGGCTCTCATCAAGGTTGCCGCTGTAGGGAGTTTGGACCTTAGGTTCCACCAAATCGGAGCCGACGGGAAACAGGAGGATTTGGACGTCACTGTGCCAGAAGTTTTGTTTGTACTCGGGTGTGGTTTCAACCTTTTCTTGGTATGGAAGGTGTCTCACAAGCATGAGGTCCGTATCAACCCCAACGGCACGCAAATGATGCACGGAAAACTGCGTTTCATTCGTGGCGTTTCGAGCGATTCCCTTTTTGCAACCCGCCTTCCCCACAAATCCCTGCCTTCTATGGACGTTGCGAATGAGAGTGCCCGTGAGAGTTCTTCTTCCTTTGTGGCATCGGCTCTTACAGCCGCGATGGATTCCGCTCTAGAACCCCCCCGTGTGACGGATGCTGTAGCGGATATACTCGGCGAAGATGATTGATGTGTGGGAGAGTGAAGAGTGTGAACGCGCCATGGCTGTGTTGGGTCCGGGGAAGACACCTTTCAATGTCGGCAATGCACAAAAGGTTATGGATATTAACACGTTCCACAACCGTGCCGGCCACTTGTCCAAACCCATTTGGAGACTGTCCGCGAAGAAGCACGGGATTACCCTCACGGGCACGATGGACAGCTGTCGATGGTGCTTGACGGCGCGAGGGACGAGGGCGTCGGTGCCGAAGCAGGGGGGCGGGTACCGCGGCAAGAGGGCGCCGAACGACGTGTTCCACATCGACCTCTGCGGCGCGTACACGGCGACGATCGGTGGCAACCACTATATGCTCTTCGGTGTGGACGCCGCCACGGGATGGATGGTCTGCTACGCCATGCGGCGTAAGTCGGAGGCGCTAGCGTCGTCAAGCGCATGGTTGTGGATGCCGCCCACAAGGCTGATACCGCGATCAAGTGCATCCGCTGCGACTGCGATGCCCTCTGGACCAGCTGCGACTTCAAGGAGTTCTGTGCCAGCATGGGGATCGCGCTCGAGTAATCCCCTCCCGGAGTGCAGCAGTACCACGGCGTCGTCGAGAGCGCCATCCAGAGGTGCCTCAAGGTGGCCAAGGCATCCCGCCGGGCCGCCCAGGAGCTGCTTGGCCCCGCAGGATTTTCTCGTGTCAGCGGGCTGAGTGTTCGTGGCGATGAGCTCTGGGCGGAGTCCGCAAAAGACGCCGCGCAGAAACTGAACCAGTCAGCATCTCCTTCCAACCCCGGGGGTGCGTCGCCGCAGGAACTTTACACCGGCAAGGGAGGCCCTTTTCGCTTGGTCCCGTTCTTCCAGTGCGGTTTCATGTGGGAGCGGCCGGCAACGAAAATGGACGACAGGGCCGTGCCGTGTTTTTTTCTCAACGCCGGGGACAACCACGCCGACGTCACCGTTAAGGTGCTCAAGGAGAGGACCGGCCACGTGTACTACACCTCCAATGTAGCGTGGGCGGCGCTCCTGCCGTCGGGGGGCGGGGGGGGTGCAATTCTTCACCAACCCCCTCCGCAGGGACTCTACCCACGCCCCAGCATCTACCCTTCGAGATCGTCGCTTCGCCGCCACCTGCTGCTACCGCCGCCGGACCGTCGCTGCCGCCGCCGCCTTCGAGGCCCGCGTTGCGGCCCGCGCCTTCGCCTGGTGCTGCCGCTCCGCTGCTCCCGAGGCCGCCCGCGCCATCGACATCCGTCGCTCCACCGCCGCCCGCTGCCGCTGCCGCCGCCGGACCGTCGCCGTCGCCGCCGCCTCCGGGGCCCGCGTTGTGGCCCGCGCCTTCGCCTGGTGCTGCCGCTCCGCCGCTCCCGAGGCCGCCCGCGCCATCGATATCCGCCGTTCCACCGCTGCCCGCTGCTGCTACCGCCGCCGGACCGTCGCCGTCGCCGCCGCCTCCGGGGCCCGCGTTGTGGCCCGCGCCTTCGCCTGGTGCTGCCGCTCCGCCGCTCCCGAGGCCGCCCGCGCCATCGACATCCGTCGCTCCACCGCCGCCCGCTGCCGCTGCCGCCGCCCGACCGTCGCCGTCGCCGCCGCCTCCGGGGCCCGCGTTGTGGCCCGCGCCTTCGCCTGGTGCTGCCGCTCCGCCGCTCCCGAGGCCGCCCGCGCCATCGACATCCGTCGCTCCACCGCCGCCCGCTGCTGCTGCCGCCGCCGGACCGTCGCCGTCGCCACCGCTCCCGGACTGGTCGTCCTCATCCATTGAGGCTGAGCAGTCCCCGCCGCAACCGCACCAAGACCGGCGGACCACACAGTCGGCGACCGCACCGGGGTACGCACCTCTCACGCCCCATGCTTCGAGACTGCTCGGCGAGGGGGGAGATCCGCGGATCCGAGGACGCACGAGAGCGGAAGCGCGCACCATCGCCCAGCAACAGCTTTCTGCCCTATCGGTGGACCGGCAGTTGCCATCACTGCAGGACGATGCCGTCACCACGCCTCTTCCTCCGACCGAGATCACCATGAGGCTGATGGCTCAAGCAAACGAAGACGTCCTCCTCTCCATGCTGGATGCTCGGCGAGTCATGAACGGCAAGACAATGCTCCGGCCAGGATTGGAGGGGGGCGGCGAGAAGGGGGGTGGAGGCGAGCAGCTCGCGAGGAGTGAGGGCGTGGTAGAGAGCACGGGAAAGCTGCCGGAGGTGGACACCGGCGAGGAGGGACGCATGGGGAATGGTTGGTCGATCGGTCCGTCTGAGCGGGGCGTTCCGCTCGGACTTGTGGCGCGTCTTGCGACGCGCGACGACCTCGACTCAGCTGTGCGCGAGATGGAGCCGCCTCTTTTGCGACCCGACATGCCGCGCTGCCATGCCAAGGACCTCCGAGTACCCCAGACTTTCAAAGAGGCAAAGCAGAGCGAGCACAGCGAGCAGTTCATGGATGCGGCCAAGCGTGAGGTGTTTGGATTGGTAGAAGCAGACGCGTTTAAGAGTGTTGGACCGTAGCAGCGAATGAACAATTGCATCAAGTCGAAGTTGATTTTTGATTGGAAGGTAGATGCGTTCGGCTTTCCTACGAAGGCCAAGGCTAGACTTGTTGCGAGAGGAGACATGCAGAAGGAGTACATTGACTTTGGCGATTTGTATGCACCTACTGTAGCTTCGTCGAGTGTTCGTATGTTGGCAGCTCTGGCGTGTGAGCTTGACTTGGAGTTGTGTCAATTCGATGTCGACCAGGCTTTTGTGAGGGCCCCTCTCAAGGAAGATATTTTCATGCGACTACCGGAAGGATGTGGTGCGTTGTCGGGGAAGATAGTGCAGTTGAACAAGAGCCTTTATGGCTTGAGGCAGGCACCTAGAGAGTGGTACGCGTTACTGAAGAAGTGCCTTTTGGATTTGGGGTTCGAGCAGTGCATGGCTGATTCGTGTGTTTTTCGTTAGTCGAAGGGGGGGAAGTAGTGTTGCTTCTCGTAGTACACGTCGACGAGATTTTTGCAGTGGGGACGAAGGAGAGGTGTGATCAATTCGGCAAGGACCTGGGAGAGTACGTGCCAGTAAAGTCTCTAGGGGAGTTGAAGTGGTACTCTGGTTGCTATTACGAGAGGGACAGAGAGGCAGGCAGGCTGACAATTTCACAGCAGACATACACCGAAGAGCTGGGAGAGAGCTATGGTGTCGAGTGGGGGGGGGGGCATTCCTTTGCCCACCACCTGGAAACTTTAGGACTTCGACTTGGACGAGCCGAGCGTAGAGTACCCTTTTCGCGCGCTGGTCGGTTCGCTGTTGTGGACTGCCCTGTTGACTAGGCCGGGTATCGCGAATTCGGTGAGAGCAGTGGCGAGGTACTGTAGTGCACCGAAGTTGATCCACTGGAAGGCTGCACTTAGCATTTTAGGATATGCAGTTAGGAATAGTTCTTTGGGGATTTCTTTTCAGAGGGGGACGGTTTCGGGATTTTCTTTGATTGCGTTTGTCGACGCGGACTACGCTTCCCGTGCGGCAGACCGTAGGTCAGTTTCGGGAGGAGTAGTGATGTGTGCAGGAGGGGCGATTGCATGGTTCTCCAAGACTCAAAAGTGTGTGACTTTGTCTACCACGCAGGCAGAATACGTGGCGATGGCGGACATGGGGAAGGAGATTTTGTTTTTGAGGCAGGTTTGGCGTTTCATGTTGCCTAAGGAGTTGCGGCCGTGCATTCCACTGTACGAAGATAACGAAGGGGCTATCCAGATCGCAAAACGATCTCGAATTCCAACTTTAAGCACATCGACGTGCGGCATCACTTCCTCAGGCAGCTCGTAGATGAGAAGGGGGTAGAGATCATCCACGTAGAGTCGAAGTATCAGCATGCCTACTTTCTCACGAAGGCGCTACCTGAGAGAGAGTTTGTTTCCCACCGGGACTACGTGATGAACTTGAAGTGAATAGTCCGGGAGATCTTTTTCGTTTTTGGGTCTTGCGCCTTTTGTTTTTTTTCTTTCGATTTTTTTTGTGTTGATTCGTTTGATTTTCTGAGAAATCGAGTTCAAGATTGACAGGTGGAAATTGTCGCAAGCATTTCTGGTTTAATGGTTGGCAATAATGCAAACCGATAGGAATTCTAACGAATGTTTCTGCTTTAAGGGTTTTAGTGTTGTGACGAGAATGCAGTTAGGGATGAAGGGAATGTCTTGCACTAAATTTCATTTCGGTCAGGTATGTGGTATGTATGGGATGATAATAAGGATAGTATATTTAAGTCCGGGTGTGGTCTTGTCAATGCAGCGAGTACTCTTATGTTTTGCATGTCTTNCGTTGTGACGAAAATGCAGTTTGGGATGAAGGGAATGTCGGGCACTAAATTTCATTTCGGCCAGGTATGTGGTATGTATGGGATGATAATAAGGATAGTATATTAAAGTCCGGGTGTGGTCTTGTCAATGCAGCGAGTAGGGGGGCTGTTAGTCGTACTCACAGCATCGACAGATTATTGCAAGCAAGAAATTTCCGAGCAGATGGAGCGGGGAGTTTGAGGGTTCAGCAGTTGCTTTGGATTCGATTGATGGTACCAAATTTGCCGTATTTTACAGGATTGGGGGTGGGGGTATGTGTGTGTCTACAACGGATATGGTGATTGTGCGTTGTGGTTTCTCACTTGTTTGTTTTCCTCTTTTTGCTCCTTCCTCTGTGCAATCAAGTCCTTTTTCCCCGGCTATCACGCCACGACTTCCACGCCAATCTCGGCTACCACGCCACCCGGCTATCACGCCTATCGGACATCCACGTCCTTACTTATACATATACACCACGACTATCACGTCACCAGGCTTCCACGCCACATCCAGAGATAACAGAGGCGCTGTGTCTTGGGTTTCCAGAACGCAGAAGTGTGTCACGCTTTCGACCACCGAAGCAGAGTACGTCGCGCTAGGTGACGTTGTGAAGGAGATTTTGTTTTTGAGGCAGATTTGGCGTTTCATGTTGCCGCAGGTCGGCATGCCTTGCATCCCCATCTTCGAGGACAACCAGGGGGCGATTCAACTAGCGCAGAACCCCATCTCAACAAACTCGAACTCGAAGCACATAGATGTAAGGCACCATTTTCTCAGGGAGCTGGTAGAGAGGAAGGAAATTTCGGTCATCCACGTGCCGTCGCCGTACCAGCTTCCAGACGTTCTGACGAAGAATTTGTCGAAGGATGGATGCTTTCGAGTCTCACCGTGATTTTGTGATGAATTTGGCATGAACATTTTATTGTTTTTCTGATGGGTTGTGTTTTGGTCTTGTTCTGTTTCCCGTTTTGTTTCATTTCCCGCACCAAGTATTTGTTAAGCGCGATGCAGCATTCATATTTCTTTGAATTGTTTTTCTCTCTTATATTATTCTGGTCAAGAAGTGGAACCGATCGATGTGTCTCCGTCAAGTCCACAAGGCAGGTCGGTAAAACACGCAAGCCTGGTCGGAAATAATGTTTTTCGGCTCCAAGCAGAGCATGAAAGCGATCACCCCCAAGTTGTTGGCATCATGAGGAACCACCATTTATTTACTGTTCACCACGCACATCCACAGTGAGTGGCAGTACGTGTTGTTGATATTGTAATGTTAATTGTTGTTCTTGTTTTATTCATACTTCGTCTATTACCGTTCCCGTCCACTCGGTACCTTCCAACACCCGTCCCGGTCCAGCTGACTGCGGACGGACGCCTTCTATGGGGGCCAACGGCCGACAAACGGTGCAATTTTCATGTAGGTAGAATCATGAACGAAGGACGCAGAGAAACTAGCGCACCGCAGACATCAACGGTTCTTTTTGTGACAGGATTTATTATCGAGCGAAAGAGGATACCCTTTACCGAGTGCATGCCCTGCTGTGCAAGGAAGCGTCTCACTGCTGTCAGGTCAGGGCCACGTGATTCTTATTGGAAAGAAGAGCACAACAATCCCACGGGAAAAGAAGGGACAGAGTCACACATGAATATTTCCGTGCCCCGAGCGGCGAACCAGCGCCGGGGGGGGAAGTAATTAACATCCCACCTTATCACCTACCACCACATGGAAGACGAAACAGTCAAGCAAAAATAAAAAAAAAGTGCGGAAACAACAGGTTGGGGTTCGGGTTTGAAGCCTAACCCCATCTCACTCACAAAACTCTCACTCAAGACGAAAAAACACACGCAAGCTCAACACCGCGACTCTACAGCAGTAACGAACTACACTCCCATGCAGGATGCTCAAATACCACGACTCAATAGCAATACATCACGCTACGGAATACCTTGCGACATCACTAGAGGAGCTCACGCCACAAGGGGAGTCAACCCCACTCCCCCACTTTTCTGAACAAAACACATCGTAAGGAGCAAAATCTATCTTCCACGTCGGAGACCTCGACACATACAATTTACAGTGAAAAACCTATTGCGGAGTGGATGTGCTGACAACCCTTCTGACCACGTTTGTTTCTTGTGGATCGAGTGGACCGGTGTGTGGCCCTGTTTCAGCCCAAACCAAACAGCGCTGCGAGGCATTTCCCGCATGTTGATTGGACTAGCGGAAAAAAAACACAATGTGTCAAATAGAAGTACACACTACTTACACGTCTGCATTGGCCCAACAGGCTGTTGACTACCACACACCGACACTATTTCACAGGTTGGCATTGGCCCAACAAGCTCTTGACTACAGTGGTGGTCCCGATGTAGTGGCATGTACAAGAGCAAAAATATGTAGCTTTTCAGGGCAGTGCCACCATTCGATGTTTCGGGTGCATGTACCTGCTGAGATTGTGACGAAAGACTTTGATGCCTCAATATCGGGCATTTCACTATTCCGGGTTCCATTATATCGGGGCCACTACTGCACCCATCACAACATTACTTCACACGATTATTGGCCCGACAAGCTCCTGGATTTCCTCGGGCGCCAGGCTTCCGAAGGCGGCCAGCACCTCCCCCACCACGCCCGACGAGACCAGGAGGAAGGCCGACGCCAGGTTCACCGCCCCGGCCCGGTAGGACAGGAGAACACTCTGCACCTGCCAGGCCAGGTCGAAGATCGGGCTCTTGGACATTAACCTCTTGTGCACCGCGTCCCTGGCCCTGGAACAGCAACCCCGGCGGGCAGCGGGCGGCCGAGAAGAGCTCGACGACGACGAGCAGCACGCCAACATGAGCGCGACGAACGAGAGGGCCAGCATCCCGGTCCCGAACACGATCATCAGGATGCCGGAAATCTTCAGGTAGGACTCCATCCCGTCGCCGCCGTTGCCGCCGCCGCAGGGGGCGTTGTCTCCGTACATACTGCTCGCGATGCCGCCGGTAAAGTAGACAAGCCCCCAGAAGAAGGGTGCCACGAAGTGCACAAGGAAAGTGCCGCCGCAGTGCCTCATGTCCCCTGGCGGAATCTTGTGGGCGGACTTGATGTCCAGCGGCGAGCGGTACACCAGGGAGAGCAGGACGGCGGAGATGAAGTCCACCAGGAGGCTGAGCACGAGGTTGAGCATGAGGGCGCCGAACGCGGATGACGCGTTCTCCTCCAGCGTGTCATCGTCATCCTCCTCCGGGTTCTCCTCAAAGCACACACTCAGCTCCCCGATCTCCGACGCGACCACCGCCAAGGAGATCAGGTTCCCTAGGACAAACATGGCCCACTTCCAACTTCTCGACTCGTGCGCCACCTCGGTGACGGCCTCCTTCTCCTTCTTCTTCATACCTCGCCGGCTACCGCTCGGATCGTCGCTGCTGCTGTCCGCGCCGGGGGCGGCAGGAAAGTAGCCACGGTGCTGTACGTTGAGGCCCGGGTAGGCGGGAACGGTGGTGGTTGCGCTTGCCGGGTTCGTGTACTGCCGAAGCAAAACAAAAAAAAGGATCAATACAGGACAACAAAAAGACATGAATTCAATCAAAAGCGGTGACGAAATAGATGGGTACATAGACGTGTGCGTCTATCTCTACCGGGCCTCCCAGCGAAACCGAAACGATAGTGGTCATTCTCTCACATCGTCATGTACCACATACCACGATGATAGCATCACCGTAAGATCGTCTGCTGCGCCAACACGGTTGCGACCGTCACTCGACGACCGAGCCGGATCGCAAAAGAACAATCAAGCATTGTGCAATAGCTCCCTTCTCCAAGACCCGTTGTGGCGACGAAGACAAAAATAAAGTTTTCTGCTACATAAGGAGGGGGGGAAACCTCACCGTGACGTAGTGCACCGTAGATTGGCCCGCCATCTGTACCGACGCAAAGAAGGAGGTAGCCACGCGGTAGAGGTGCAGGGCCTAGGCTAGGATTGTCTCGTGCGAAGGGGGAGCGGACCGACCTTCTCCTTCCCCGTGCTGGACGAACCCGCCTCTTGTCACGAAGTTGCTTGCTGTACGAGCGTGTGCCACCTTTAAATCAGCAAGACGGAGAAGGTTTATGCGGGGGTTTGACTAGTTACAACGTTTCCCCACACAAACGCCCATGGCGGAGGTGGCTGTTCTGGAATCCGAAAACATCGTTGTTCAATGTTGGAAGGGCGGCCTACATAGTATTCACAATCCACCCTTCCATCTCGTTTCATCAAGGGGGGTGGG